CTTTATCACCTTAAACGAAATTGGGTGAATACATCTCATATTACTGATTTACTGTTAGTCTCAAAACTCTGCTTAAATACGAAAAGCGTGAAGTAGCCAGCAAAATATGAGATGTATCGTTAGGCTAGTAAAATAAGGTAATGGAGATAAGTAGAATTTAAGCCAATCACCTTTCTTGGTTGATGTTTTGGTGATTTTTTGTGACGGTTCCTAGCTGGGACGATGTCTACCACATGACAGATTTATCGGCGTGGCAGGTATATAGGCTAATGACTTTTTTTAGCAAGTCCACTCCAAGGCAATCCTCCTTCAGTCTCTATTGAGGCTAATTAATTAATATCTTTCATCCGCCTTTTCAAACGAAATGAAGGGTACTACAAATTAATTCTTTTAAAGAAGCCTTCGAAACCCGGGTTAACTTCATATGTGCGAAGAATTTTTCCGTTTTCAACACCAATAAACGTCGAAGTTATCTGCTAAATCATTATGAGCTCCATTGTGCTGCCTTACATGCTTATAATTTAATTCTCATTTAACACAATATATGTTATAAGCGAAAAAACAGGCGAGCAAATCACATCTACAACGCAAGATAGATGAATCCAATAAAAATATACTGGCGTAGTTTACAGATATTATACAGGTCCTTGAGTAGTCAGTTAAGATTAGGCCATGAAACTAAGAAGTCTAAAAAAACATGGCTAGAAATAATATGATGTGCAGAACAAATAACTAAATAATACCAATGTCAATAATTGATCCGAATTCGCAGACAAGTTCAGACCCTTTATTACCGGAAATCAAAGAGGTTCCGCCACCATGTTCCGCTGTGCTTCTTTTCGAATTTTCTTCATCACAAGGGGCTTTTCTGGATGCCCTCCTTGTTTGTCGAGCCCTAGGAGGTCGCTGCTTACATGAAAGATCCTTATTGGGCTCAGCAGTGGAGTCCGGCAAGTGGCTGGATGACGTTGGATCTTGTTGCAGCTGGCTTGAACGATCAGTGGTTGTGTAATTTGTGTCAGAAACGACAGAAGAGGGAGTAGAAAGAGCAGAGTTAGAAGGGGAAGACTCCAGAAGCTCCTGGTACTGATGGTCGTGTTCCGGAGGAGATGAGTTT